TGGCCTCCAACCTGCTGGCGATGGCCTTTAACCTACTAGGGATGGCCCCCAAACTACTAGCAATGGCCTCCAACCTACTACTAGCAATGGCCTCCAACCTAGTAGCGATGGCCTCCAACCTGCTAGCGATGGCCTCCAACCTGCTATAGCGATGGCCTCCAACCTTAGTGCGATGGCCTCCAACCTACTGCTAGGGATGGCCTGCAACCGTAAGAGCGATGGCCTCCAACCTGATAGCAACGGCCTGCCACCTAATAGGGATGGCCTCCAACCTAGCGATGGTCTCCAACCTACTAGCGATGGCCTTCAACCTACTACAGCGATGGTCTCCATCCTGATAGCAGTGGCCTGCTTGCTCTTGGTTCCTTCAGGGCAATCTCTGCACTCGCGGGCCCTCGTGACCGAAAACGAACAGTTTGGTCTCGTCAGGTCGCCTCCGGCCATCGTTCGGGGGGTCGTCGAGGCATGTCATCCTGCACAAGCTCCCCCCGACATTCACTAAAGATCCAGATTGATAGACCCATGCAAAAAAAAAAACTATGGTGCTGGACTCCACATGTCAGGCGACTCCAACCATGGCCCACAGGTGGTAGTCAAGATCTTCCACAGGACAAGACTTAACACGGAACCTCAAAAAATGCAAGGTACGTTGGAGGCCAAAAGCGTTTCCCTTTTAAACCTGCAAGACTCGATCAAGGCTTTGACCCCGAGTGGAAGGCAAAAAGGCGGGTCCCTGCGGCGAGGAAGATGGGTTTGGAGCACTGGAAGCGGTTCGGAGATGTTTCGGCTTAGCAGAACAAAAACACCGGGATTCATCAAGGCTCTTTTTAAGACCCCATAGGTCGCCTCCCAAAAAGGGATATTGGATGGTAATTATGGTGAGTACTTGAGTACTAAGTACTATACACTCAATTCAACAACGACCGGGCCAGGCCGGCCAGCCTGGAGACTGGGGATCCTTCAATCAACATCATTCAGCACACGAGCGCGTCTGCGAGGGGGGCATCTGAATGAACAAAAAAGGCCAGGAGCCCCTAGTAGCGTCCTTGCTCCTAGCTGTTGGTTTGAACATTTCATGGGTCCAAGCGGGACATCCTCAATTTTGCCGCTTTGTACTCCCACCTTTCTTTCTTAGTTGTCTTGATGTAAAACTTGAAGACATTTTCCAAAATCACCACCAATTCTCGTCCTGAAGCGTTTCCACCAATTCAATTTAAGTCTCTTTTCTTGCGATCCATCCTTCAATGGGTCGCGGGTCGGACGTCCGGAGGCCCTACAGCATCGCCCAGGCGCCGGAACGAGGGCGATGGGTTCTGACACGATCAAAAGCACATGGGCAGAAGATCCTGGCACATCTGGCCAAAGATCCTGAAGCATCGGACAGGGTATTGATCTCTCAGGTGGAGGCGGCTTGTCCAACGGTTAGCGGCCGGCAAGACCCACGTTGCCGAGTAAGCAGTGGAACAGGTGGCTGTCGCAGACAAGAATATATTTGCAGGAATCCCATCTTCAAGCTGAAGGTTGGTTTTCTCCAGGTGCATACAAGTTTCCAGTACCAGCACCTCAGGGCTTTATTTGTACCCTCAAGGCCAGATCTCGAAACCCACTTTCTGGGGTCAGCAGACATTCTTGCGGATGTCTGTAAAGGAAGCGTGTCTTCCGCATGGCATTTTGCTGAGTCGGAGTGTACGCTGTTTATTTTTGCTTAGGTTCGGCTACTTACAGAAGTACAAGTGAACTGCAAAGGTTGGACAAGCAGAACTGATGTCTTTGTATCCAAACTTGTATACAATCGGCTATACAATGCGTTGGTGTTGCCGGAGTCGACAAACCGATTGGAATTGGAATTTGGCTCTGCAACTAGTAGCGATGCCCTTTGTTCCTAGTAGCATCCTTTGCTCCTTCTGGAAATGCCCTTTGTTACTAGTAGCTGCTTGTTCCTAATAGTAAGGCCAGGAGCTACTAATAGCGTCCTTGCTCCTACTGATATGTTGTTCTTGCTAGGTGTCTTCAGTCAAGGGTTTACTTGGCACTAGACCCCCGAACCCACAGTTGGACTCAGGGAAAGGCAACACTGCCCTAAAGAGAAGGAGCTAGACCCTTGGAGAATTCATGTCACTCTGCTGGACAAGGTGAACACCCCTGTTTGGTTGGAGTTCCTTGTTTTCCACAGATCCATCAGCTCTTCCCATGAAGGCATTGGACCAGATCTATGCTGGGTATGGAGACAACGGGCAGGCAGAGGACACTCTCCAGTCGGGAGCCTCAGACGAGGACGGTTTCGGAACGACGAACATTTTGAAGGCCGGCTTCGGGGGCTAACCTTCCTTTTTCGAGTATTTCTCCCATGTTTTTAGAAGAGATTTTCTTTTATTTTCTTTTCAGACCGGACAGGACAGGTTTTGGAAGGAACCAATGCAGGACCCGACTCTGCAGGCCTTGCCAGTTTTTGTGCACCGCACGTGGGTGACTCTTTGGAGGGGTCTGATGGTCAGAGCTTGTCGGTGTGTTGGTGGTGTTGTCCGGTCTTTTTGGAAGGTAAGACTCTGAAGGCGACTTTTCCGAGCCGTGTCTTGGAGCCTATGCAATTGCCTGTTCATCCCAGCCACGCTTTGGAGCCCAGACTTATTGAGTACTTAGATCATGGGAGGTGGCCACAAGATGCAAGAAGCTTGGTAGTATCACCCATTTGATTTTCAGAGCACGGTAGACTCCCGTGGTAGAAGGGTAACAGGCGATTGTGACGGAACCCGTGTGCTTTTGGATGGTGGATGAGTGGACCATTACACCATCCGACGCTACGAACGGGGCGAAACTGGCATCGCGAACCGAACGGAGCGATTGGACGCTCCGCAGTTGACTTTGCCAAACAACGACTCTCCAGAGGTTGACTTTACGGATGGGGTACCGGGTACCGTTCCAACCCGCACATGGATCTCGAGGTCAGTGTTGACCCTGATGGCCTTTTTGTTGGGAGAGTTCTCTGGAGTTCAAGGGGTTAATCCCGGTGAACAGACCGCCCACGGGGCCCATGGGGTGGAAAACGCAGGAAAGCTGACGATGCCCAGAGGCTCCGTTCGTAGCGTCCGATCGCTCCTAGTAGCGATGCCCTTTGCTCCTAGAAGCGGGGTAGGAACGTGCTGACATTACCCCCACGTCGGCATCCCCTCGGCACCGCTTTTTACACTCGGCACAACCGCACTGACTCGCACTGATTGGCACTGAGGGTGAAGATGCAAATGGGCTTGGACCACAAGTATCCTGATCAGCAGATCAGGCCAGTCTAAAGACCAAAGCCGGGTGGTGAAGGAGGAGTCAGGGTGGTCGCAGAAGAATCTCATGGCCTGTTGAACCCGCTTGGAGGGCCCTGTTGAACTCCCCACTCGTCGCGCGCGCGGCTCCGTGTCGAAGCGGGCTTCTTGGCCGAGCTTCGGGCGACCAGGTTCCAGGTGGAACTGCCCAACGGCAGTGGCAGTGAGCGCCGGGTCGCTGTCTTCTGCCCGCCCGAGGAGGAACAGGAGGCACGGCTCAGCGCACCGGTGATGCGAGTCGTGGAGTTGTTTCGGTCCAAGCAGATCAGACGCCCCGAATGGGTTTTCTTTTGTGCCCATTTACTCAGTTCAACTACTTAACATAGGGTAGGGTAGATTAGGAGCACTCTAAGGGCACGGGATTGAGATGATAAACAGATGCTAGTTCGGCATGTGTTTTTTCACCAGCAAGCATTTGTTTATGCTTTTCACCTTCTCCTCACACTTTTCTGCTACCTGTTGCTACCCTTTCTATGAGATCCTGAAGGGGGAAGATCCTGCAGATCTTCCACTGCAACAAGATTTTGAGTGGCTGAATGTCGCAACCCACCGGTCCAGATGGACCTCGGAAAGGGATGACCACCTGACGATTGGCGAGTATCCTGCAGGGTCATCCGAGGGTTTGGTGCATCCCAGCTTTGGAAGACGATGTGAAACCGAACAAACACCTGTCCTGAGAAGTAGTGTGATCCATGATGTGGGACCTTGACTTCGATGCAATGGCGAGCAGCTATAGTTCAATGAAGTTCCAAAGACATGAGGCCAGAAGCTATGCACCTGAGAAGCTACTAGGTGGAGGCCATCGGTACTAACAATAAGGCTTTCTAGTATGTCTTTGAAGCTTCTTAGTAACTAGACGCTACGAGGTGGAGGCTAACTAACGTGGCCGTGGCTCCTCAGAATCCGAACATCAAAATAGACTGTGACAGGCGACTCTCTTGCGAAAGCTCAGAAGGTTTTGACACAAGTCACAAGCACTGTCCATAGATTTGTATTCATCGCATGTGTTTGGGGTCTGCGGTTGGCCTGAAAAGCACACATAAATCACACCATCCGCCCTTTGTTAATTAAGGACTTGGGGTTCAAAACTAGACAGCCAAACGGTTAAACACATGATAAGAGTTCAACGCAGCCTCCAGGGCAAATTAACATTAGGCAGCCGAGACTTGACACCTTGAGTTCAACCAACCATGCCTCGGCTCGCAGATGTTGGATCTTGGTGCCAAGCTTGCTGGGAAGGCAGTGCGTCACAGTGCTTGGTTGGGAATGAGTGCATGAAGTAGAAAACCTGGAGTCCTTGTTTCTTGTTCCTAGTAGTATGGTCAGGAGCTCTAGTAGCGTCCTTGTTTGCTAGTAGAAATGCCCTTGAGTGCTAGTAGAAAACTTGGAGTCTAAGTAGATGAAGAATCCAAGACGAATGAACACCTGGAGATGTGATGTTCATTCGACAGACCCCCCAGACCCGTCGTGGGAGATCTGAATCGATCGGTCGCCCAACGAGTGATCTCGGGTCCGGACTGGGACAATCGGACGCCCCCTTTGGAACAGGGAGAAACCACCTTCGAAAGTGATCGGATTGTTTTGACATGGGCCAACTCCAAAAACTTTAGGCCACCCTACAAAGAGACGGAGATCGCTAGTCATTGCATGTCATGGGCTAGCAAAAAGCTGGGATGAACATAGCTTAGCAGATTTGGAACTCGAACTGGCAGTGGGCCAAGACGGACTTCAGGTTGGGGTTGATGTCCTCTCCATCCTCGCTCATTCAGCCTCCGCTCCAACGCGCACACTAAGAAGGTCTTTGGCATTGTTGACCGGCTGCTGTTTAACTTGCATAGACAAGCTCCTAGCTATTCTTTTTTGGGCAGTAGATGACAAATCCAATTCGCTATTAGGTTGGAGGCCATTGCTATTAGAAACAACGAAAAAAGAAAAGGAAGACAGTTCTAATATGGTTTGCTTCTAGGTTTGAAGTTTTGAGACCAACCGAACCCACAGTTTTTGTGGGACATGACATGACTCTTGAAACCCGCCATCCCCTCACTTTTTTGCCGCGCAGACGCTTCAAGATGCTCTTCTTGAAGAAACCTTTGACTTTGATGCGCCGGCGCTTGGATGGCCCTGTAGAATTGTTACTAGTAGTAAGGCACCTTGCTACTAGTAGCTTTCTTGTTGCTACTAGTAAGGCACTTGTTACTAGTAGCGATGCCCTTTGCTCCTAGTAGCGTCTTGTTACTACTATAGGTGCAAAGCCATGTATGGCCTTGATGAACTTGAATTCATGGATCCGAACATTTGATTCTTGAGTGATCTTAGTATAGCAACAGCTTTGAAGCTCCTTATTCTTTCTGAAATGAGGCCGTGATAAATTTCGATCTAAACCATGAATTGAAGCCATGACTTCGACAAAGAGGTAACCCAACTAAGCAATGGAGTGGAGTAGCCCAACTCAGTATTTCATGACAAGGACCTCCTCCAATGGAGTGGAAGATCCTTTGCAATTTTGCGAAGTCATGAGGTCTTGATCACAAAGCCCCAGAGTATGCCGGCCATCGCCAAGCTGGGGAAAGTCCTGGGCCCCAAGTGGGGTGCCCCAAACATGCGAAAATGGTGGACTGGTGATGATGACTGGAAAGAGAGAAAAGAAAGAAACAGAGAAACCTAAAAGCGATGGCCTCCATCCTAATAGGCCTCCAACCTAGTCGACGTTTTATTTTGCACGTGCCGCTTGCTCTCGCTCGATCTGCACCCAATACAAGACGTTGCTAGTCTTGATTCTCATCTGGTGGTGGAGCTGCTTTTTGGAGCATACAACATTTCGTCTGAAGACTGGAGGTGCACATCTCTTGAGAGGGGGAACCAACAAGCTAGAGTGGGTTCCGATCTTGGGCGTATGAGGTTCAAAGGGTCCCAGACCTTAGAGTTTCAAAAACTGAAAGAAGACCTTCAGGTTCTAAAGAAAGAACACTACTAGGGGCTCCTGGCATCGCTACTAGGAGCAAGTAGCTACTAGGAACAAAGGACATCGCTACTAGGAGCAAGGACGCTACTAGGGGCTCCTGGCCTTACTACTAGGAGCAAGTAGGCGCCTTAAGTTTTCCCTGAAGATCTCGAAACCAAATCATTAGCGCCAGCTATCCTGCGTCCACATGTAGTAGCGTCCTGTACCTACTAGCTTGCCTCAATTCCTTACTTCATTAAGTAGGCGCCTACTTAATTAAGTAGGGAGGGGGGGGGACCGGGCTAAAAAAACAGTTTGGTGAAACATCCTCCGAAACATTTTTGTCTCAAGTGTTGGTTCTTCTCGGCGCATCTCTTTCGACCAAACCTCCACGTTGGGATGGCCCGCCATCGTTGCGAAGGGATGAGCTTTTATGCCAGAACGTTCTGAGAGGTGAGCAAGTGAACTTTCAGGTTGCTGATGGTATTGGTTGGACAACTGGACACGGGGTTCTATCAGGATTCATAAGCCTCACTTCTGGATCTGCAAGAGGTTTAAGAGTTGGTAGCCTTGCAATGGTCTATTTCCTTCTCCTTCTTCTTCTGGGTGGTCATTTTGACTTCATTCTGGGACTTGGCTGGAGAGTGGGATTTGCTCTGTTGGATGAGTTTCAGTCACCAGTCCCTTCCTGCTAATCCCAATGTCACCCAAGAAACAACAGCAAACCAGGGCTGCTTGTTGAGGGGGTGAAGGGAATTCAATTGTGAAGAGTAGATGTGAAGAGTAGATGTGACTGACTCTCTGTAGAAAGCTTTGCAGCTGAACAAATGGCAGTTCAGACACTTCAGCCGCCAGCCCGACCTGGGTGACCCTTCCGACCGGGCAGAAACAGTGACCAGTGGCCGGTGCTTGCGACGGACAGGCGCTTGATGCCATCCCCGAAGAGCGGCACCGTGGTGCCATGTCCAAATGGGGATGGCCCAAGGACGCTACTAGGGGCTCCTGGCATCGCTACTAGGAGCAAGCACGCTACTAGGGGCTCCTGGCATCGGTACTGGGAGCAAGAACGCTAC